TGCCCTATCCTGCCAATAATTTCTGCTTTAACAAATCTGGAAAATTTGGGAAAATTCTGGGGGGGAATTCTAAGAAAAAATCCTGACTGGTTCTAGTACATACACCCTGTAAGATGTAGAGACCTCAACAGTGGTAAATCTTTTTATGGGATCCCCAGGTAGCTGATGATTATTGGTGCATAGACTGGAAGAACTAATAACTAGAGGAGGAAAGGCCACCAAGACACCAACTGCAAGCAGGTACTACTAGTTTTCATTTGCAGCTCTCAGACTCCTAATGAAAGAAAGGAGACTGAATTTGACTGAGATGAGAATGCTCCAATGGATGTGTGGAAGATGAGATGGAGAAATATAGTGGAGAGGGACAAGAGAGAGGAGGAGTTGGAAAAAGAACATGCATATGACCGAAGCCTATAGAGATGCACAGCAGCAGTCCTGTTTAGATGGGACAAGTGAATGGGGATGAAGAAGACTAAGAAGCTTAGGAGCTCTCACACATTTCTAATGGTTTTGTTACTGAGTTCATAATGTATCTCTTATTTTGTGTAGCCTTTCAATAAGAATCTGTGTGCATGTATTATGGATTTTACTAACAACAAGCAGAAATAAAAATAAACAGAAAAAAGTGGCTACATGCTTTATTCTGCCATTGAAGATATCATCTTGATTATTTAAAGGGGAATCCCCACCCCCAGGAAATTAATAGAAATGGTGCAGAACTTGGGTGGGTCAAGGCTAAAGGAGGGTATGCTGCCCTTCAGACCACAGGGGGACTGGAGTGAGAGATTGCTGAAGCCCTAGGCTAGTGGGAGACACCAGGCCAGGACTGGGTGCAGAAAGGTAAGGGGGAATCTCCCACTGGCCATCGCTACTTGGATGACCTAGGCATGGGGGAGCCCCAAAGCCACTCCAACAGGGAACTACCCGAAGCAGCTGCATAGGGTGCTGAGTTCTGCTGGGAACAGGAATGGCAGCAGTGGTAGACAGATTCTTCTTACCAGTTGCTTCTCCCTGCCCACCTCTCCCCATGCTGGCCAGGAATAGACACTGGAATGAGGTACCTATGTGTTGCTGGCACTGCCACCAGCTAAGTCTGGCTCCCCACACAGCTGATCCCTTCAGTCCACAGCTGGAGCAGGGCAGGAGTGGCCCTGGGGCACCTGTCAGCTGGGGACATTGGTGGTGGTGGTGGGTTCTTCCTTCCAGCACCTGCTCCCAACCAGGGGTGGCAGGAAGCAGGTATAGGATGAGGAAATCTTGCTGTCTAGCTGCTGCCCATGGCTGCAGTGGGGCAGGAGCAGCTCTGGGACTTTTCCTACACCTGGATCACCTGGTACCAAGGGTGGTGGTGGCATTAAATGGGGGTGTGACTGCACTGCCTCACCCTCCTGTATCTGTTCCTGGTGCACAGGAACTCCTTTTTGCAGGGCTGGCCTTTGCTGTCGATTTCAACCCCTGCCCCTCTGGGTTACTTAAGTGCAAAACATAGTCATCATTGTTTCAGTCAGTATTAAAATACAGTACATCTTCAGAATTTCTCCACTTGTAGCATTGTACGCTTGGTTGTATACATTAAGTTAACTTCCTCTGAAATGTCAAACTGTAGGACAGTAATAAATGGTAAATGAATGCATGATGTACTTCAATATCTTCTGACAAAAGGAAGAAACCATATGAAGCAACTATTTATTTTATACTGGTTGGCTTTTTTTTTTTTCTTGTTTCCAAACTGAATCCTTCCTTAAAGAAACCAATAATAAAATGGGGGGAAAAAAGGGAAAGGAAAAAGGATTATTATTAACATTTTATTGTTTGAAGGGTCTGGTGAAAGGGGGAAAAGATTGTTTGGTTAAAGCAGCAGCTGTTGACAGATCAGGTTGAACTCCTTTATGCCATGAGGTGCCACGAGATG